GTATGGGTATGCAATTTTCGAGCAGAGGCCTAAAAATAGGGCTAGTAGGTAAAAGGTTTTAACTAACAGTCATGCTGTCACAGGAGTTCAGGACAGGACCCAATAGCAACCACAAGACGGGATTCAGGTACAGAACAGACTTTATTTTACACCGGACAGATGGCAGGATCGACGGTGTGGTTTCCCGTAGACCGACACTGGACAGCAGACACTCTAGTAGGCACTAGACAAATGGCAGAGAGGAGAGCGGTCAGAACCGGGGATCGTACGGAAACTTACAGACCAGGGTAGTAGACGGTACAGACTGACAAGCCAGGCCTGCAGGACCAGGGTTGATATACTGCCAGGAGGTGATCAGTGGGATCAGGATCTGGTGTGTCAACCTGCAGGTGGTAATCAGCTGGAGTGTCTGCAGCTGTTCACCAATCAGGGGTGTGGCCATGGCAGGTGTCTGGAGGCAGGCAGAGAAAAAACACCGAACACATGGCACACAATAACAAACAGGGGGGAACAGAGGTTAACACACAACGGGTCAGACAGGGATCCTGACACATGCCTCATGTGCGTAATAAAGACACAAATATACTTTCATATTTATGAACACTTTCCCTAAATCTGCTTTTCTGCAGACTTTGCCCAAGGGGATTACCCACAATTCATAGCAATGTGACATTAAACAGGGTTATCAGTGGAAGCCAGAGACATAAAAAAAAAGAAAACAACATTAAGGATTAAAGATGGTAACTGGCTCTGAACAGCTGATGTTTCACAGCTTTTCTTTTATTCAGCTCTGAGGGGTTTGTTGTCACAACATTTACAGTAAGTATATAACTCTACCGTCAAACATTTCTGTGAGCAAACAGTTTCTGACCATTTATGTATCTATTTTTCAGAGGTGTGTAATGTTGTTTACTTATTTATTGTTCCGATAGTGAGTAGCTCAACTTTAACATCTGTGCAGCATATTAAATTGTATTTTTTTAAATACCATTTAATACCAAAATATGATGTCATCCAACTTGTCTCATAGCTTGTTCTTTTATTTAGCTGATTGTGTGAAACCGAGAGGTGTGAGGAGATCCTTCATGTCGTATTCGTACTGAAGGAGGTTGACAATAAAACTCTTCCCTCTCAGTTGTGTCCTCGTGTGAGTATCCTTGTTGAACACTAGAGGGCGTCGTGCTCTCTGTCAAAACTCATTTTGAAGCCACTACAGGTGAATAGGGTAAAAATATAGACATCAACAGAAAACTCAATCTTAAATTGAAAGTGTTAAAGATGTAAGAAGTAAACACAACGCAGTGGTAGAGACCTGTCAATCACTGTGTAGCCCCGCCCCTAAAGCATCCCCTGCTTTATGGTCTGTGTGACTCTAAATGGACCATAATGTACTAAATGAACATCATGCTGTATTGAAGAAGACTTGAAGCTAGAGATTGAGACCATAAACTCATGTTTACAATGTTTACTGAGGGAATAAATCAAGAGAGAAGTAGTCATTTTCTCATAGACTTCTATACAACCAGAGGAGTCGCCCCCTGGTGGACACTAGAGAGAATGCAGCTTTAACACATGAAGCTTTGACTTCACTTTTCAGAACTGCAGGTTGCCGCCTGGTTGGAGTAATTACAGCAATGATCCTGTCAATCACACCTGAATCACATTTACTCGTTTTTTTTTACACCAGCTGTCTGTCGTGTGCATGCAGTGCAAATATTAACGAAACATAAATCAAATAAAAATACATGATTGAAATTTAAAATAAATGCACAATCAACACTGGTCCCAGCCGACCCCACACACCAAACAAAATGGTGAAATTACTCATTCATTAATTATCAATGTAAACCACTGTGCAATATCAACATTTCATATTTCATATTTCACATGTGCAATAATATGTGAACCTGCAACGATTCAGTCCGAGTTTACTTATTTATTAAACTTGTTTTATTGTTTTTTTTAACTGATGCCTCTTGTCGTGTTTTCCATTTTGCTGTGTGAATAAAGAATAACCTTATCTTATCTTATCTTATATGACAGCTGTTGATGTTTTTGAACCATCAGACCTCTGCTCTGAACTTCCTCCACCATCACTGAGTGAACAACGTGCTTTGCTGCCATCAATCAGCCACGAACATTAAAGTCTTTAGACGACATATTTACTGTACGTTTACACTAAGATGAGTAAAAACCAAGCCAGCGGGTGCTATAGAGTGAGCCCTATGTGTACATCAGCCGTACCAGAGTTCTCCACATCCAAACAGGACCTGCTGGAGAGTTTTGCTTTGATCCATATCAACGCTTTGAAAACTTCTACGTCCCAAAAAAAGAAAGAGCAGCTTTACAGGAAATAAGGAACACATGGATTTTTGATAATATCTAATAACGTCTGAAGGGATTTCATGAGCCTAAAAGGTTGGAAAACTCTGTCAATCCACTGTGGAAAATGTAATGTAAGTATGGACGCGTGACGGTCTTATATGAGGTTTGTACCTGACAGCGACGGGCTGCCTTCATTAGACAGAGGAGAGGCCTTCAACACACAGTCTTTGTTTACAGCATTTAGTTAAAGCCAATGAAGGAAACAAAGGGGAAAGCACAGTTCTGCAGAGTGTATGTATTAATCCTTAAATAGAATGTAAACATACTTGAAGTGAAGTGACAGTTCTAGATTTCTAAAACATTTATTCTCTCTGTAATCTAAATACTACATTTATAGTATTTAAATGTTTTCTCTGAAGCCTTGTTTGACCTCTTCTGCTGCAGTTTTAGTGAAGTACACATGAACCATGATGAAAACAGTGTGTGGAGTAGATAGAGCTCTGTGTTTACGAGACACGGGACTCTGGAAGTCAAGTAAAACGATAGCTCTTAGTATTTCATAAACAACGCTCCTTGAATTCTCTGCATTGTGTCCCACTCAGGGACAAAAGGAGAGAAGTTCCTCGACTACAGAGAAGAAATAACATTTGGAATAAAAGGGTGATTCGTCTTGAAATGTCCTTTTTTCATCTGTGCTTCATAATATTTATCTTCAGTCTATTTAAAGCTGCAGTTTGTACTGAATTCCAGCCTGTTCTCACTCTCAATTACTACGTTTACAAGCACCAAATGTTGAGTTTTTTGCCCTTATTCTGATAATGAAAATGAATATTCCACTAATATTCCCGTTTACATGCAGCCGTGCAGATTCTGATTAACGTAAAACGTCCCCATGAAGCTTCATCTTCATCACCGGTGAATCCCTCGTCACCGTCATTCTCTTCTGTGTTTGATGTCCGAACACGTTGTGATGGAAAAGTGGAACATCAGGAGCTTCTTGTGCTGTGGAGGACTTGTTGTTGTGAACTCAGCCTCCCTCTCTCATTCCTTCAAACAGCTTCTCTAAAAGGTCGACGTTCAGATATTTATTCATATTCCAGAAACCTGTTGATGTCCAAGTCCTTCATGATGTTCAACAGGAGTGTTTCTCCTCCTCCTCTTCTGGACATCATCTCTACTCCAGCTTTACTAACTGTTGACTAGTTGGTTTGTGTTCACATGTTTTTGTGGTAGTTTTCAGAATGTCGGTTTTGCCGCGAGAAGAAACCCGCACGAAGTATGAACGATCTAAACATTTCCACATCAGCTCATGTCCGTCTTTTTAAAAGTCACAGCACGTGTAAACATGTAACGGGCGTTTATTAGACGTCCCAAACCGACACTAGAGGGGTACGAAGAGCGGCACAGTTTGAAGCTGAGGAGATCTGATCGAGCTGCGTTATGGAAGAGAGAATATTATTCATCTCTCATCTCCACCAGAAAAATAAGTGGAAAGCATTCAAGTTCACATAATTTATTTACCCCCCCCCCCCATACATCTACTGCATCCATTTAGCAGCACTGGTGGTGTCACAATGAGAAGCATCTGATATTCACTGTGAGTCCGTGTCTGTGACTGAATAGTACAAATATACTCAATAACGTGACGTAATAGGGAACACTTTAACACACTATAATGTAATTGTAAGCATCTATTTGTGTCTTTTAGCAATAATAACTCCTCCTGTAGAGAAACCGTTAACGTAGTAAAACACACCAATATAAAATGTGTCTTTATAGGAGAAGTTATAATTGTTGACAAACATATGAATAAAGTCATTTATTAAATGTTTCTTATGAAGGGCTTTAAAACAGAGTGAAGTGTCACAGCAGTTCAGTTTATCAGAACTCATCCTCATAGAGCCGTCCTCACGCAGGTTTCCGTCCGAATGAAGCGCACATTTTAACCACATTTTCTAGAAAATTGTCAAAACAAAATGTGAGTTAATGTGTATTTTCCGTCCACCACCCCTACGTGAATATTAAGAGTAAACAGCGGATGGTGCTCATTCTGCCATTTTAACAATTGCAAAGGAAGAAATGAGCACCAAAATGTGTACCTCGGCTAAATGTTTAAATGTGTTTTATGTGCCAAACACACATAAAAGCAAGTTAATATTTCTTGTTGGTTTATTTGTCACTTTTGTCTTCAGATACATGGATTCAAATATCCAAGATGCCACTTGGTTATTGTACTTCATCGTCATCACTTCCAAAAAAACCTGGAAGTGCCTCAGGCCCTGTGTGCACATGGTGTCTTTTTCTGGCAGAAAGTGTCGGCGGGGCAGCGCTGGGTAGCGCGTGTCATCGAAAAAGTGATCTGAACGCTTTTTTGCTATGTTTCTATGCCAACAATATCTTGATATCATATCTTGAGTTCATAACATCAGGAGGTGATCCGTAAATTTCACTGAGCTGTATTCACTGTCTATCAAGCCACACGTTGACTGGTTGACTACAGCTGTATGAACCCAAAATAAACAAATTTGCTGTGATTTAATTGCATTCAACGGACAAAAAGAGATGCCAAAATAACTACATAATGATGCCGATTTGTAAAAAGTCTGAATTCATGTTTTGTTTGTTCTCTCCGCAAGACGACAAGCAAACAACTTTTAAAATACTTGTTTTCTGAATGGAGTTTTGGATCGATTGGTGCTAGGCTAAGCTAACATTGCAGCAGCTCCATCAACACTCAAAATAACGTCATATAGGCGTAAATATGTCGGAGCGGCTGCACAAAAAAAGGCGGCGTGCTGAGAAATGAAGATGCTGGGTGGAACGTTCTTTCCTCTAGACGGCCTCATGCGCTCTCTCCTCATTGGGAACAATTGAGACGCTGTGTGGACACAGGCCCGAACTTTACCAGATGGCAGCATCCAGACTCAAGATGTTCAAGACTCATCTGATTAGAGGTTCAGGTGAGGTCAGAGTAAGTTCATTAAATAGACTCATCTCAAAATGTTGGCAGACACTGGATTCCCTTTAGGTGTCGGTCTAGTCACTCTCTTTCAGAATACAGTTCCATTTATCATTACAGACAAATACACCAAGTACATGGAGCTTTACATTGGCAGTACAAACGCACGGCAGAGTCCTCGTTCTCGAGATGCAACCTGTCCAGAGTTCATTAAAGTCTTCTCAAGACAGCAGGCACTGACAATCACGGACAAGTGAAGCAAAGGAGCTGGTGTCCAACCCAACTTTTCATGTCTCCGTCGCTCCTCATGCTCATGTTAGCATTTCCTTCTGTCCTCCGCCGTCCCCGCTGACTCCGTCCGCCTCGGCTCTCAGCTGCTCCAGGTCCTCCTCGGAGCTGCAGGCGCTGTGCCGCCTCCCCCGGGAGAAGAACCTGCGACGCGATTGGGCGCTGAGGTCCAGGAGGTCGAAGGAATCGGAGGAGAAGAGGCTGTCCTCGCTCACCACGCTGGAGGGACGGCTGCGGCGTCCCTCGGCGCCCCCTGTGGCCCAGAGGAGCTGCTGCAGGGCCTCCGGGAACATCGCGGGCGCTGAGCGGAGCTCATCGGGAAGATCCAGACTGCGAGAGAACTTGCCGTTGCGTTTCAGAATTCCCTTCCTTCTTCTCACCGCCTCTGTGCGCATGGTGGGGCTGTCTTCTGCCGCTGGGAGACAAGAGTGTTTGTGGGAGCACAAATCACCTGCATGCCCTCCGTCTTTAACCTCAGAGATCCCCACGTCTGAGGTCGAGCCATGACCCGACTCCCCTCCGTGCAAGTTCTTCAGTATCCCCTTCTTGGGCATTTTGGATGAGGGTTGACTGAATGTCGAGGGAGGCGGCAGGCTGGTGGACAGCACATCAGCATGTATGTGGGCAAGTGTGTGTGATCGATGAGGCTGGGGAGCAGCGTTACAAGGTTGGGAGGAGGGGTTTTCTTTAGGAGCGCTGGGAAAGACTGAGTCAAAACTCCTCTGGGGTTTCAGGATACTTTTGGGTTTCTTTCTTTCAACGGTGGAAGTGGAGGAAATCGCAGCGGAGGAGGCAGCTGTTGCACAAACACCAACGCCACAAGCTCCCAGTGAAGTCTGCGGAATTGTATTCTCCTTGCGTGACTTCCTCAGGCTTGACATTGCCCCTCGTACCCTTCCTCCTCCTACTGCACGATCGCTCCTCAAAGGTAAGCTGAAGTAAAAGGGGTGGGGCGAGAGCTGAGGCGGACAGGAGGAGTCTGAGGATGGGCATGCCGGGTCGACGGCCATGTTGCTGGTGGCTACGACCCGATTCCGCCAGTCGATGTAGCGAGCCAGCAGGGGGGAGGGGCATTCTTGGTGTGGCGGTGAAGGGCAATCACACACACTCTCTTCAAAACCCCAGTTCACCCACCAGTGGTTGGCCACGTCCTCTATCGTAGCCCTCTCGTCCACGCGCACCGCCAACAACCAGTCGATAAGAGCGCAGGCGTCTGGAAGGGCAACAGAGTCAGCGGTTATTTATAGGACACCAGTAAGAACAACATGCATGAATAGAAATATAATGCTGATGGAGACGTGGACGTCGTGATGGGTTACCCGAGGGGGGGTGGGGTCTGCGGTAGCGGCCTTGGCTGATCTGCTCTGTGAGCGAGGCGTGGCTGGCCCCATCGAACGGCATGCTGCTGTACACCAGCGCGTAAAGCAACACGCCCAGCGCCCAGCAGTCCACCTGCAGCAAAACAAAAACACACGTCATGCACGAGAATCTAAACGAAAAAACAAATTCAGGCTTTGACATTTTATAAAATCTTCCAGACCCATTTACTGGGGTTCAAAATCAGTGCTTTAAAGCTGCAGGAATTCACACCATCAAAAACGATTATGCAGATTATCTTGATGAACTAAACGTGAAAGTATCAGAAACGTTTGTTTGCTATAAATCTTACTTTTCTGGAAAAAAATCCCGTCGGCTTTTTGTCGTGGGAACCATTGCTATGCTAACCTTCTGCGTTGGCCTGCACAAATATGCTATCCCTGCAGCATTATGTACACATCTGTTTATTAAAAAAAAGATCAAATCATGTGTAACACTAAAGGTGGCGCTCGTAGTGGCGATCCCACAGTTTCACGGCCTACAACTTCACGGTTTTTGGTTGGTTTTGGTGCATTGTGAAACCAGCGAGGCCCAAAGTGTGTTGACTCACCTCCGGCCCCTGGTAGGGCAGTCCTTTCACTATCTCCGGGGCAGCGTAGAGAGGACTTCCACAGTACGTCTGCAGAAGAGTGCCCCTCTGGAAATGATTGGAAAGGCCAAAGTCAGCCAGCTGCAGAGAAAGAGAGGACGGAAAATACAGTTTGAGTGTGTATGTTGTGTCTCTTGTTACTGCTGCTTCTGTGGAAACTAGACAAGTAATACAAGAGGAACAGTCACACTAACATACTGCCCCAACAGGAGTGGCGTTAACACTAACATATATTCCAATGGTTAGCTGTCCAACATGTGTATCTGTGTGTTCAAACTATTTAACGAGATAACATTCTGGACTAATCAGTTAGCACTGAACCCTTTTCGCTCATTCACTTCAACACACACCGGCTCCTCACGCAATCCAGATTCCTTTTCAGTGAGTACGTGCTGCAAACTGTCAGCCGTGTGGCAAAAGCAGTAACAAATTGAAAACAATTCCTTTTAAAGGAGCTAAAAATAGGTATGCCAAGCTTGTGCCAGTCAAAGTGTGAGCGAGGAAAGAGGAGAGGGCCAAAAACATCAGGCTGCTCACGCTCACGTAACGGAACAATCACTCACTCGAGGCTGCGATTCGCAGACATACCGAGGCTCCTCTCTATCGGGACAGATTATGCACACGAGCGCCAGCCGGCTATCGGCCCCTCTGGTGTTAAAAATACTCAGAGCGACAGCTTTATTTCCGTGGAACAGAGACCTCACAGATGGAAGATGACATTGTGTATACAAGCCAGCTCACTGTTGATATTACACGTGTGGCGGCAATAATGATGTGTAGACTGAGAATGTGAGTTGGGCCGTTTATACAGCTTTACCTTCTGCAAGCTACCGTCTGTGTGTGTGTGTGTGTGTGTGTGTGTGTGTGTGTGTCCTGCAGTATAAATAGAATAGGAGTAGAAAAGACATTCCGATTCAAGTCAACGTAGCAGGATAGTCAGGGCGGCGGCCATTGTTATGTGTACCGCTGTCATGTGGCTAACTTCCGTATAAACTTGAGGTTTTCTGGTAACGACTAAACCAACAGTAGAGAAGAACCGTTAATGAGTATATTTAAACAATTTAATGCTTCATCCAAACTCTCGTAAGAAAGTTCATTGCGATCAACAGATGAGTGACAACTTTGTTCGGCGTATTTTATGCAAGTAGCAAGCTAGTTAGCAAACTAGCGGACAGCTGGCTAGTTACCTAGCTTGCTAACTCCACCATTCATTAATGCTACACTGGTTACAGAAAATGAGCCAAACAGCAGGCTGGACAAGGACAAGCTACCTCGCTAACTATCCAGCTATCCGCTTCCTGAGCCGCTCTCTTTCCAGAAAACTGCGACGTCACTTTACGGCCCCCACTGACGTGTTTTGTCACCATAACAAACAAGAGAGAGATTAACAACTTTGTTTAATCCACGTGTTATTGAAAACATATACACATGTTAAATACTTAATAAATAAGACCAAATAAATGCATTCAGGCAGAGTTAACAGGTTCTTGTTTGTTTCCTCTCATCAGTAAAGCAAACAGAATGTACGCCAGCCTTTCTTATTAGATTCATTGTTATAAATAGGCTACAATTATCAGAACAACATAAACATTCAGGCTCCCACATGTGGCTCAAATGTGTACTGCAGATAGAAACGTTGAATAAAAGATCATGGGGGAAATTCTGCACATTTATTTGGCGAACCATATTTAATCTCCTGCGACACTTGTGTGGATCCCGAGCCAGTCTTTGGGAATGACTGCATTAAAGGACAATTTATTTTTTGTATATTTTTAAATCATAATCCGTCTGTGACTTCAAAAGTGACAAAGACAAACATTGTGTCATAGCTGTGCCTGTCTTCTTCTTTCCCTCTTTAAAGGGCCTCTGCACATCGTGTTTCCTCTTGATGGACAGACGGAGCCAACTTATATTAACGGTGCGATTGCCACTGGATTCCCGGCATTTCCCCTCGGCCGTGCACAGCTCCCTCAGGAGAGCGATACCCAAATAAGGCAAAAATGACCCCCTGGGTTCTTTCATAAGACCTGGCAGTATGCTGGTGCTGGTTCAGTGTGCGTGGATGAACAACACATTAAAATGACTGTGGTCTGAAAGTGATCCAATGTATGCTCTGAATGTGCACTTTGTTTGTATTTTATTTTGGGAGCTGGTGAGATAATCCATTACCAGCAGCACGGTGTGAAGCTGCTAAAGGTCTATGCCTTCATGTTCCACCACAAAAGCAATCGGAGGTCTACGGATGATCCATTAATGAAAGATGTATTTCATGCTCGGGCCAACAATGCTTTTGTCAGAAGACTTTTCTATTTTTCATCCAGGGACAAAGATCTGGTCTCATTTATCTTTCCTGAAACATGCATCATTGTCACGGTTTTGTTCTCGTGAAAGCGACATGAAGGCTCAGTGTGCGTGGATCTTACCTTCACGTTGAAATCTTGATCTAAAAGGATGTTCTCCAGCTTGAGGTCTCGATGCACAACGCCGTTCTGCAAGAGAGCGGAGAACACATGAGCTCCTGTGCTGCTCCTCCCTCCCGTTAACAGTTAGATGTTTCCTCTCTGCATGCGAACATTAAGACTGAAGGGTCTGAAGGTAATAATATAAACCCAGCCTGGATTGCACGTAGCGTTTGCCTTTCATTTATAATTTTATCACCATCAACATTCCACTCGGGCCTTGTGTTGCAGGGCCCTGAGACAGAATGTTTAATGAAGTGCTTTGTTTGGGTTGATTCGTCTGATGGCATGAAGCACCTGGTGGCCCACGAGAGGCCACAGAGTCGAGACCGCTGTGGAGCCCAGTGAGGAAGACTACACCGGAGGGTCGATGGGAGGAAAAGCGCTGCAGGATCACTATCACTTTAAGAGTTTCCCCGACGTTGAATACGTAGTAAATCCACAGACTGTATATAAGAAGTGGAAGGTAATTACCGTGACGTCACCCATTGGTTTGTGGACTGATGTTATGAAGCCTCTAGTTCGGTGTTTTGGCCATCACCATCTTGGATTAAGCCCATCGCTACCTGGGATCTTTTTCGCCTATTACCATAAAGCATCCCCTGCTTTATGGTCTGTTTGACTCTAAATGGACCATAATGTACTAAATGAACATCATGCTGTGTTGAAGAAGAAACTAGAGATTGAGACCATAAACTCATGTTTACAATATTTTACTTGGGAGACAGGAAGTGTAAACCATTTCAAACCATTGGCGGAGCTTGTAAGGGGCCGTCTACCTTTTTTTGCACCCTCATATCCATTGATGCCAATGTAGACGTGCAGAAGGCGTGCTCAAGCGTTCCCAAGCCTCTATTTCTCAGGGTTAGCCGGCTGCGCCTCGAGATAAAAAATAAGTCCAACTTTTGGAACGCTGCAGCGTGCACCGCATGTCATGTGACGAGGAACAACCAGAGTTGGAAGATGTCTTGTCTTTCTTCCGTAAATATTGGATAAGCGGATCTTTATGATCCGTCCCACGGAATATTTTAAGTCCAACGACGTCACAACAACCGGTTTAAAGGTCAGAAAAACTGTCCCAAACAAATCAAGCAGCAAAGCTCCTGTGAGGGATTTATGCTGCTGGAAATTCATTTATCTTAGTGTAGATTAGTCAGCGAGGCTTACTGCTACATTACCGCAGCTTCATCATCGGGCGAGACAGTCGCGCAAACCCACCCAAGCACCTTGGTTAAAACGATGTAAGCATTATTCAAGCGTTATTAAACACAACATGTGAACGGCCCATAATGGTTCTGTATCTTTGGTAGATCATAAGAAGAGACAATCGTTATAGATAACTGATGAATAACTGTGACCACCCAGAAACGCTCCAGCTGCAGCTGTGAGTTTCTCTTAAAGCCAGCGCCTCATCAGCCTAATCAGCCGAATGAGCCAAATGAGCCTAATGAGCCTAATGAGCCAGCATAGCCTCCGTCCTCTCTGCAGTTAATGACATCCTCCACTTCAGCGGAGGAAATGAACCCTTGACCTTAGACGATGTTTTGTGCACAGTATGTACAGTATGTAGGCCTGTGTGTGTGTGTGTGTGTGTGTGTGTGTGTGTGTGTGTGTAAGGCACAGAAAGTAAATCAGAAGACAAAAATGATTGTGGTTAACCACGTTATTATTCTTTGCTACATTTAAATGAACAGATTCGGAGAATAGCAACAAAAAATACCAAAGAAAATGACTGAATTATTTTCATTCTACCCCCCCCCCCCCCCCCCCCAATGTCCCCTGCATACCTCAGAGGCACATTCAATAATTCATTCATGCTGGAACATTCATGTCTATTTTGGGACAATACTTGAGGGCATTTAAGGAGCACAAAATCCACCTCCCCGTCTACTACAGGAGCTGAATGGTAATCTCTGGCTTCTCTGTGAATCCCTCACATTAAATTCAAGATGCCAAAATAAGAATGATATGAAAACAAAAACATTTCTTTCATGTCCGGCTCAGCTGACTGCGAGGCACAGATCCTCACGGCTGTTGGTTTTATGTACACAACAATAAAAAAAGCAAGGAACCAAACAAACAGGGTTTTACAGAGGTGTGGAGGGGGGGAGGATGGCAACGCGTTTGATCAATGTGTCAGTGTGTGACTGTGAAAAAGAAAATCCAGGCTTAACGCGCTCTTAACCCAGAGAGATCTGAAAACGCAAGTCAAGTTTTCCTGCAGTATTAGGATCAGGATTTAGTGGATTTAACAGAACTGTATTCGCTTGTGCACAGTTAAATAACCGCAAGCATGCGATTCAGCACGCGCCTCCACGTGGTTCCTGAATTTATACTGAAATCCAAGTGCAGGAAGTACGTGTGTATCTACAGTATGTGTGTGTGTGTGTGTGTGTGTGTGTGTGTGTGTGTGTGTGTGTGTGTGTGTGTGTGTGTGTGTGTGCAAACCTTGTGGCAGTAGTGGACAGCAGAGGTGATTTGTCTGAAGATGCTTCTGGCTTCCGATTCAGGCAGTCGCCTCCTCTCCTGGATGTAGTCGTACAGCTCTCCCCTGCTGGCGAACTCCATCACAATCACGATCTTATCCCGGCTCTCAAACACTGCACAGGAAACAGTCACCGGACGGTGTTATGCAAATGTGTTGATACGAGTTGAGCATCTATTTAAACCAAGAAGGAACCAGAAATAGTGCACACTGTTGGTCACTTGATGAAGAAAGGGGTTTTCAGGAGTTCTTTGTGAGACTAAGGGTTCCATTAAGAACCATTTTCATTCGAAGAACACTGTTTTGGAAGAAAGAGTTCTTCAAGGATTGTTGAAAGCATTGCTGTTAAAGGGGAACGCCTAATATCCAGAACCAGACACCCCGAAAAACTGTGATTGTGAACTAGGACTTTTGTGGGATGCACTGCAACACATTAGTCCTTTAGGGTTCTAGATAAAACCCAATGAATATAAAAAAGGTTCTCTGTAGAACCCACAGCGTGGGTTCTGGATACAACCCCTGGACTATAAAAGGTTTCTCCTCAGAACGCCCTGGTTGGATTCTCAACGAAACCCTTGAAAGGGTTCTTGGTAGAAGAGTAAGTTCTTTTTAGTACCCTTAAAAGGTGGAAAGGTTTTGGATAGAACCTCCCTAGAAGGGTTTTCCATAGAACCTCTCATAGGGGGCTCTGGGTGGAGCCTTTCACAGATGGTTCTCAGTATAACTCTTTATGCTGGGTTCTAGAGTGATACATGACACACTTTCATTTCACAGCACCAGTAATCTGTCCAGTAAATCACGGATTATTATTTTAAATCTGCATGACTTTGTCTCATGGAACTTTCTTTGGAACATTCAGAGTCCAAACATCTGTCTGGTGATGTGACTAAATAATGATTCACATTTGGTCTAGAGGTCATCTTGTCTTGGTTTGGTTGTGTTTGCAGACTCACCCTCGTGGAAGCGTATGATGTTGGAGTGCCTCAGCGAGGCCGTGATCTCGATCTCTCTCTGGATGTGAATTCTGTCCAGGTCGTCTGTGATGTGCTCTTTGCGGATCGACTTGATCGCTACCTGAGAACGAAGACGCACTAGTTAGAGTTACTGTGAGGAACTTTTAACTAGTTGTGAACCAGTCTCAGTGTAGTCCTGATCCTCTATATGAACCAGTCTCAGTGTAGTCCTGATCCTCTATCAGACCTCCATCAGTAAAGAGACCGATCAGAGAGAAGATGGTCTGTTTCTATAGAGTTATTCTTAATGCTCGTCATCGGAGCCACCGGGTCGGATTCTGGTGAAACCAGATGAACTCATGCAGGTTCACCAGAAACTCCTTCAGCTCAGACTCCAGCAGAGACTGGTCCACCGTGGACAGACCCAGATCCGACACCACGCTGCTGGAGACCCAGGACTGTTGTTGGACCCGCTGGAGGCAAGGGAGTCACGGGAGAACCAGAACCAGGACTGAGAGGGGCAGACTGTCAGACCCTGCTGCAGTAAAATGAGGTTTTCTAAAGAGTCTGGTGCTCAGAGACACTACCACTTTAGTCCACAGGGACCGCCAACATCAACACAAAATGAAAGTTCCATGTAGTAACTTTCCCCCTTCACCTCCCTCACAACTCAAGTCTTTCAAAACAGTGGATAAACAATGGTAAAAGCATAGTTGATGTATTACTTGCATAAAGCCATGCATGGAAACAAAGACATACTGTTGATGCAATGATACACTCACTCTGTGGGTATTAGAGGTGATTATGTGGGTTTTAAGGGCTGGATGTGTGAGAGCAGATCCTCTGTGATCTGAGCATGCTCAGAGGCAGAAGGTTGACAGCTGCACTGTTCACACTGTTTCATTAATCCCAAACACTCACGGTACCCTGATGTAACCCCCCCACCACCCAACACACACATACACACCAAAACAAACAACATGAGCCCCTAAACCTCTTTGGATAGAGTTACTGTCACCAGACTGGCTCCATACAGAGACAGAGACAGAGACAGACAAATAAACAGACATCAGGGTGTCCTCTTTAGAAATAAACTGAAAGAAGGACAACAAAGCTTTGATATAATGTGCAGATGACGAGGCTACAGGACTACTTTGTAATGGTTGACATTAAGCTGTCCCCTAATTGACTAATATTCTTTAGTCGTGTATTCATTGGTCATACTCTATATAATTCTGTCAAACCATATAATGTTCCTAATAGCTAGCAGGGGTCACCACTCCAGCATTCTCAGCTGCCGGGAAAAAAACAATGTCTACGAGACATCGGAGGATAAAATTCACACGCTCCATCAACCTCAGTGGTTACGCAACACAAACACACTCCAGGGAACTCTCGGGACTGAGCTGACCTTCTACAACGGATGTGACGCTGACCAGCGAAGGAGAATATTCAGGTTTTTTGGGAACAAGTGCTGAAGTATGAGGATTTCCATCACATCAGCAGACATTCCAGTCCAGACTGATGGGCAGGGGTACTGGGCGCTTGGTCAGAGATTAGGCTGCAGATATTCAGTGGTTGGGGAACTATCATCGTGTGTTAGCTCACATGCTCGTGAATGATTTCTGACCTAAATACCTGATGGCTGGGAAAGCCACATGTCAAAAGGAAGGGGAGAGTATGAAATAAGGAGCATGGAAGAGGAAGGCGGCAGGTAACAGGACAGGTGAAAGGAATGGATAAAGTATGTCAAAGTGCAGCCTCAGGGCAAAAACAGATTGTATTTTACTGTCCATCTCAGCTGTGACTGGGCATTAAGGCCAGATGAGTAGAGCACGGAGAGGAGAGACACACACTGGGCATTGTTCAGCCCTCAGGGCACTAAGAGCGTTGTTTAAAGGGGCACGTGTGTGCAGAGGAAGTGTCTATGTGCGTGAATGATCTCACCCTTGTGCATGCGTCACAATAGGACCTCTAAAGCATCCTTCTAACTAACAATGTCTCATTGTTCATCCAAATAATGTGCTGCGTGTGCGATATCTGCCAAAAAATGCCAAAGTGTAACAGGATGGATGGAGGGAAACGTAAGTAGCTAAGTGTGTGTGAGTCATGCAGACGTAATCAGATATTCTTTTGCTTTATGAGAGAATGTGTGCAGTGGAGGAGCATGTTGTAATGCTACAGCCAAACCAGATGTGTAGCTAGTTGGCTAGCTTGTCCATCTCCAGAGCACGCTAGTTAACTAGTTAGCTTGCCCATCTTCCCAGATTTCCGTTTTGTTTCTCAGGTTCATCTGGTTCTTTGCGTCGCCATCGCCTCTGAAGAAACGATGCCTGTGCGCACACGAGAGTAAACGCACCGACGCACACAATATCACTAATTCAACAAGTATCACAACATCTATTTATTTTGGGGAGCCTGTTTTGCTGTTTCTACTTTGTTTATATGTTTAAAAATTGTTGCCACTGATGGCAGTGAAAAGCCATGAACCGGTGGCCAAATTTGTCAAAATGGTTGCAAACGGCAACCTGGTACCGCCTTACTGTCGAGGCTCTGCAGCCACAAGTGAGCTATAGTTCAGATTAGTGACCCTGCATACCTTAACTTTATCATCCTTTCCTTCCATTTCATCCTGTGCATTAGTCAACAACAACTCAGGGACAATCTCAAGTCAACACTTTACCCTAACGTCAAACCTACTTTCTCCTCTCTTTCCTCCTTCTCGTCTCTAAAACTGTCTCCTCCTCAAACAACAGCCCCCTGCTGTTGTTTCCAAAAATAATGTCCGTTTTGTTTCAAAGAATCCTTGGTATGTGCTGGCTACAGGCTCAAAGAATTCAGCATTTTCCCCTTGTCCCACACACACACACACACGCACACACACACACACACACACGCACACACACACACACACACACACACACACACACACACACAGCTATTTCTCTCCTCTCTCTGTATATTCTTCCTGCTGTCTGTCCTTTACTCTCTTCTCTCAGAGTTAAAGTGAAAGCAGCCAAAGGAATAATGCCGGTCTCACTTCCACAATGTGAAGATTATCCTTATTACAGCATGTTTGTTTACTATAAAGACACGAGAAGAGGGATTTGAGGCTGACGGGTTTATCTGTCTCTTTGTGCTCAGTGGGATTAAAATCGGACTGCAGACATTGAACCCACGTTCTGTTTTTAACCTGAATACAGAAACATGATATTATGACTCTGTGTGTGTGTGTGTGTGTGTGTGTGTGTGGTTGTGTTCCGGTAAAGAGGGTCCGTCTCCTCCTGGAGGAGTCCTATTGTAGTATTTTATCCCTTTGTTTTAGTGCTGAGTGAGTCAGACCAAAGGCATCTCAGCCTGGCAGCACAGGAAACAAGAACTGGGTCGGCATCAGCACATGAGCTCACCCACAAACACAAACACAAACACACACACACACACACACACACACACACACACACACACACACACACACACACACAGGATCTTAACTTCACGTCCAAATTAATATTTAATATTCTTGGAGCAGCAATAAAGATGTGTGCACAAACAAGTTTAAGATATCAAACATTTTCACAAACAGGTTCATGCACATCATCATGTGCATATTAAATATATATCTATTTAAAGAGAGCATCCTCAGGCACGCAGTTTCCTGATGTTCTCCAACACTCACCGTCCTCAGGCTCGCTCTCTCCACCGCCTTCTTCACTTTGCCGTACGTGCCTCTCCCCAGAGTCTCCATCACCTCGTAGCGGTGTTTCAGGTTGTGCTTGTGCTGGTGCTTCTTCACCTCCATCGCCGCCTCCGCGCTGTCAGGCCTCGGGGACTCCTCCGTGGACGCCGCGTCCCGCAGGCAGCCGAGCTCGGAGCGGTCGCTGGTGCTCATCGCGCCTCTGCTGTCCGCCTCGCGTCTGCCCATCCTCTCTTGCGCACCACCTGTCAGAAGGAGCAGCCTTTCACCTGGACTGGAACCCCCCTCATCCCCCCCAAATTACGTTGATGACTGCGCAAGCTGCAGCTAAAGTTAGAGACCCAGCAGGTGCCCATATAGATTCGTTATCAAAGCCCTGAACCAGTCGACACACACAGAGAAGCCATCGGATGCATGGGAGCAGCACTCCTCCTTCACCCTCCCCTTTGACAGCACAGCAGCAACAGGAGCGATGTGGGGAACCACATGGTCCGGAGCGATGGGCGGAGCCTCCTCATTCCCAAGAAAGAAAAATTCGCTCATAGACAACATCCTGGCGCGTCACAGTCACTGGGATCATTGCGGGTTCTCGGAAGGCTGCTTGTATCTGTCGGGGATGAAGGCATGTGAGGAATGTCATGCGGGTCAGACACGCAGCCTGAATCAAAGCTTCAGTCAGACATGTTGGTGGATGCTTTATCATGCGGTGAGCTCAGAAAGAAACATAAATCCTGGAGGACTTTGAAGTCAGAGAGAAGGAGAAGGTAGTGGTGGTTGGTGAGAATGCAGGGTTGCATTCATTTGGTTTATTTAGATAAAAGGTGGCTGATCTAAGGCAACTTAACAGGTAAACCTGTCTGTTTATTACCCCACATATAACTTTATATGCAAAAAGTGATTATAAAGTAGGGTTACAGGACCACCATACAAAAAGACTCCGTTATAGGTTGGCTGAAATGTCAGTGTAACAGTCAGTGAATCATTTATTTGTGCTTTACCGATCAGTAATACGCTTTAATAAGGATGAAAAGCAATTAACGTCCAATTTACTAGAATTCATTTTTGGTTTGTAGGTGAACTTTTGGATGTAAGTTTCTGTTGATTAATTAATTATTAAAGATAATCTGCATCATTCCTTCAGATGGTAGAATGCTCAAAAAATCACTTTAAAAAAACCTTTTACAGCTTAAAGGTGCTCGATATGGACTTCAGAGCATAGATTGCCTCTACACGGCTCTCAACATGCGGCTGTGAGCTGACGGTGCTAACAGCGCACAACAAAGAGACTAACATTCACCAAAATGAACACACAGCTGACCCAGCTATGTAAAGAAAGCACAGAGAAGCTCTGATAACACACACACACAGAGGGAGACAGACTCCATCCTCTGCTAGTAGACATTACTCCTTCATATCTTTACATAGACGATAGTTGTTTGATGCCATATAAATGCTCTTGATCCAGTATAGAGGACCTAGAAATAGTTTGACATTTTGGGGAATATGCTTATTTGCGTTCTTGCTGACAGTTAGTAGAGAAGATCAACACCACTCTCATATTTGTCTGTTCAATATGAAGCTGGAGCCGGAGATGGTTAGCTTAGCTTAGCTTAGCACAAGGACTGGAAACAGAGGGAAACAGATATTAGCATATTCCCCCAAATGACAAGCTATTCTTTTAAAAGGCTGAAAATGTTTAGTTTGGTGATGTGATCCATGAAGCAAAGCTGGAGGAAGTGTGTGACACCAGAGGCTGCAGTCTCCTGGCAACAGACAACACTGGTTTCTTCTAACCATGACCACGAGTAGTTTATAAACTAAACCAAGCTTTAAATTATATAAACTAAACCAAGCTTTAACCACAGCTGTGGAGGATGAGAACGCATGAATATTATATTTTCCTAAAACAAAGCACTTTGTTGTGAAGATATGAGGATTTGTTGTTGGGAAGTTATAGACTAACATCCTTATAGACTAGCTAAGTTCAGTCAAGGTTTTGATAAAGCTGCATGAGGATTAAGAGGACAGAAGCTCTTTTCCCACAGATCCTGGCTCTGAGCATTGTTGTTGCTGAGAGTCAGGCGGAGATGAATTATGGTGTGATGAGGTCTCGAGGATTGAGGTTCGCCACCAGACAGACGTCATAGCTGTCATGCACAGCTGCTCTTCTTTCCACCACCGTCCACACATTGTCTGCAGGGTCCATTTCCAAAATCTCCTTGGTGATGATCTCATGACGGCCTGCAGTCGTGAGAGAAAGTATGCAAGTTATGGCTGAACCAAAATCGAATTTCCAGAGACACTGGCTCATCAGTAAGATTGCTTAAAGGAACAGTGTGCAGCATTTAGGGGGACGTATTGACAGGAGTGAAATATGATATTCATGAGGTTGTTTTCTTTTGTGTATAATCACCTGAAAATAAGAAACGTTGTTTTCGTTACCTTAGAATGAGTTCATAGCTACACATACATACTAAATATAATATATTAAAGTCGTTCATTTATGAGAAAGAAAATGTGGATATTGTCAGAGATGTGTCAATTTACAAGAAAAAAATCACAAATTCGCGAGATTATAAAATCATAAATTTACAATAAAAAACTAAAAGTATTTTTTCTCAGAATATTACCCCCCTTCGACCGCTCAGTAATAAATGTATTTTTCCTACAATAGCCCTAATACACCATTATACCCACAGGTTTAGCACATGGTAGAAGTTTCACTTGATTGCAATCTGCATCCTCACCACTAGAGGCCGACAAATCCTGTATATGACACCTTTCACTTTGACGGAGACACAAAGTGTCCCTTGTTTTTGTGCAAAGGCTATTTCACCATGAAGTCAAACTTATGAGGGAGAACTTCTCTAAGAGACAAAACAAGGTGTGATAATAAGAATACAAATAAATCAGTGAGAGGCGTTCACTAACTGACCGGCCCCCTTGTAGTATCCACAGAGGTAGAGCTCGCCCTCCACCGCTCCTACGTCAGAGGCGTTGGTTCGGAGGGTGAGTAAAGACGTGGGCAGGGTCGGTCCAGTCCTCCAGGTGTCCGTCTCTGGGTCATAGATCTCCACAGAGCTCAGACAGCGACGTGACACAGTCCTCTCCATCACACCCTATACCACCTGAAGAACACACGCAACATCATCGGGCTCCATTCGCTCTCATATAGAACAAATACTCAGGACTACAGTCTCACAGTCTGACTATGTAGATTTCTCCGTTGAGGACCGCCGTGCCGCAGCCGTACCTGGACTACTTCATCCTGGCTCGCTCAGTCCACCTGTCCTTGTCCTTATGAGAATTGAGACACAGCAGAGGTTGCTTTAGTTGCTTTAAAGTCACTCTGTGTAGCATCTTTGTGTGACTGTACCAAATTTGTATCGGTTTCTGTGATTAGCAATAAAACTAAAAGAGATGAAACAAAAGAAAAGTATTCTGAGCATGAAGTGTTCTCCCAGTGCTGCCCCACTAGAGGGCGCCACAGTATCTCCACATCTACACACAGTGGATTTACAGCCCATGAAAAGTATTTCTCTCTAACATCAAATATTTATTTATAAATGTACAAGGAAGTTAAATAAATACTACTGAGCCAAGTTTTTAGGTGTTAAACTTCAAATATAACAAGTAAGCTTCATGGCAGGCTGAGGGGCGAGGCAGAGGGGCGAAGCTGAGCCAGCTGCCTCCTCTCCTCAGCGACCATCTCTCCACACTGTCTGTGACCACGTAGTGACTACGCACTTTCATCTGGCCTCCTATCATATACAGGTTGTCGCCCAGCAGCCCTAAAGCATACATGTCCCTGTGGAAGGAGGACATCCTGGCTCCGCTCCTCATCCGGCTGGACAACACAGAGCCTCTAAGCGCCAAAGATGCCAAACAGCTTTACCACGACTGTTTGGCAGAGTGCAAACAGAGGCTGGTGGAGAAGGCCAACCTTATTCAGAAACACTATGACAAGGTACAGCACCAGTTTACTCATGATGTACGTCATATCCCTTTTCTACTGCACAAAACACAAAGAGACACAAGATGACCACAAAGAGACACTAAATAACTACAAAGACACACTAATGACCACAAAGAGACACTAAATAACTACAAAGAGACACTAAATAACTACAAAGAGACACTAAATAACCACAAAGACACACTAAATAACTACAAAGTTATTTAGTTATAACATAACTGAAGTGCATCTTCATCGTGTTCTGAGTTTTGTAGCTACAAGGAAATATCAATGTACTAAAAACATTATAAAACATATCAAAACACTTCCCGTGTGCAGCAGAAGAGTGTTCGTCTTTGTTTGCTCAGTTTATTTGAATGTGTGCTGTTGAAATGACTCATTCAACAAGCAACACGTACAGTAACAGAGGAAAATTCAAATATACAGGAGTGAAACTAGAAAATACAGAAATTAAAATAATAATTTGAATGTTTCTGTATTTATAATTGGCACATCCCACATACACACACACACACGTAGACACGTACACACCTAACAAAGATACTACAGTATCTAGTCGGCTCTGGCATTCTGCAGAAACAGTTTCATCAGTTTATATATATTCATATTTTATATTCAGTTTTCCTCAAGGATAGAATTATCTTAATTCTACAGTTAATGTATTTTTATATTATCAAACACATTTCGGATGAAAATTGTGTCCCAGTGCATCTGCTCGGTAAAACTAAATTAGACTATTTGGGCGTCAAACTGGGAAACAGAAATCCTTCCTTGGAATCTTGTGTCCTCCACAGTGGAGGATCACTGAACAGGCCTACCGGGTATTTGTTTCCTAAACCTGAGCACAGACAGGACCGAGGATGTGAACCCTGATCTCTGCTCTTTGGTAGACCTGCTTTTACTCGAGAAATGAACTTGTGCGTTCTTGTTGAAGAAGAACTGTGGTGAAACAGGAAGCTGATTCAAATGTTTTATTGAAGCAAAAGAAGCATTATCACCATGACAACACACAACACTACAAATAACAAGTCCTACATTTTAGAATTACACAACAAAGTTCTTCATGATCAAGAGAAACAGTCCTCATGATGCAGAATGAACTCTGATAGAGAGCTATACTATCATAAACATGTTATTGGATCATTATTACTGATTAACATGTAAGTAGCATTTTAACGCTGCAGCAGGTTGAGATTCTACAAAACAAAGCATCATATTTAATAAGCTCATCACACACTTTATATTAAATATCCAAGTGTGCAAAGAAACTACACTCTTAGAAACAAATGTGCTAACTAGAACCATGGAGGGGTCTTCAGCTCGTTTCCAGTAGAACATTAATGCACCTTTAAAGGTTCCACCTGGAACCTTTTCAGAGGGTTCTACCTAAAACGAAGCATAAATAGTTTTACCTAGAACCATATGTGAAAGTTTCCACCCAAAGGTTCCACAGAGAACCCTCATATGGTGTCACGGTTTCACCCAAAATCTTCTCTGGAGGTTCTATGCAGAACATTTCCACCTTCTAAGGTTGCAAACAAGATCCCACCTGCGTGTCTCCACCAGGAACCCTTTTGCATCCCACAGGTTCCATCTAGAACTCACTATGGGTTCCTCATGAGATTGATAAAGAACCGGGGCTGACATGGTGCAGCACAACCCACATTTCTGGCTTTTTTTAACACCTGTGCTTTCAGAAACTCTTGAAGAAGGAAAAGGTTCTTCAGAAGCAAATGGTTCTGGGTAGAACCTCAGCCCTTCAGGAAGAACCTGTTTGGAACCTTTATTTCTAAGAGTGTAGAACCTATAGCTGACAGATCAATGTAGTGGAGTAACAGTCTAAAGTAGCATGAAATGTAAAGACGTTACTTCACAGCAAAGGGTCAGTACTTAGGTACTTTGGTACTTTCTACCATTGATTGAGAGGAGGAAGAAGAAGAAGAGGAAGAGGAGGAGGAGGAGGATGATAAAGGAAGCCTCTGACCAGAGTGGATTCAAACACCATTAAAGCTCATCTTTATTTGGACACGTCTCCTTCTTCTTTGTCTTCTTCTCTTCCTTGTGGAAGACTTTTCCATCCGACTGCTTCTTCCAGCTCAGCTTGATGTCGTCATTCAGCCCCTGGTCCTTCAGCCTCTGTTTGAGCTGAGATACAAAGACATTTACTTCCTGAATGTCGCTGACAGAGAAGAAGTCTTCACTAAACGCTGTTCATTTACATCCTGCATCCTTTCTCACACTGTCCTCATGTGGAAGCTCTGCTTTAGAACTCTGGTTCCCACTAGAACAGCTTTGTTGTTTGCATGTTCTTTGGACACAAGTCTACCTTCAATAGTGACGTATACACGTGTGCACTGCACACAGCTCATTTACATTGTTCTTAGTAGTCCACTCAATCACATGTATCACCTGGTTGTTCTGTTTTTAATGTTAGAAAGATGTACCTTCTTCAAGAGGTTCTCCATCACCACAGCGTCATTCAGATCCAGAGACGAGCTGTTGTTCTGCACCCTCACTTTAATCACTTGCATTGAAACAGGAACTAAAAAAAACCAACAAACTTCATCAGTCACATCATTTCTGGTTGATAATAATCTGCATCCTTGAATTTTTAACACTTTGAATGATAAAATAGAAAGTATGGTCATTCTCCATCAGCTCAATCTTTAAATATGGCTGGTGCAAGAAAACCTTAGCTTAGCATGGTGTTAGCGTTAGCATTCTCGCATCAATGAGGCGATCACTCTCTATCATCTGCAGTTAATCTGCATATTCAATGTGTTTTTATCCATAACTTTATTTTTATGGATTTTATTTTGCTCTACTTTTGATATTTTTCTGTATTTTTAAACTCTGTTTGCTAATAAAGTAAACCTAAATCCACATTTAAACACTGAGTGAATGATAGCTTACCACTGTAGCAAATGAACGCTCTCATGACGTCACAGTTCAAGCCCTCCCATTGTCCATTGGCACTAAAATCTGCTGCTGCACAAGTCTTAGAGACACCAGTAGGTCTAGTTTTCCAGTTTCTAAATGAGGAGTCACTTCCATCAGACCACTTCCATCCATCTCTGAAAAGGCCGATCCAGACATATTGTCCTGAGGTTACCAGCTTCTGGACCTTCTGGATCTCTTCCATGTTTCTCACACTGGCCAGGTCTGTGTGGTGTTCTCTGCAGTAGCTCTGGGCCTCAGTCCACGTCATGGTGTTCTTAATGAGGACAAATGTCTCATTCAGTCCTGAAAATAGACCAGAGTGAAGTGCTGTGAAGAGACACCATAACAGACAACATGGATGCATACCAGTTGTATTGTTGCTTAATGAATCTCAGCATGAAGGTGAAGTCAACACAGAGCTGTGTGAACATGAACATGCAGGCGTCCATTGAGTCCCACATTCATAAAGACACATCAGAGCTATTTTCCCTCCAACAGACATTATACAAAGCTGCTTAATGAGCCTGCTCCCACAGGGACATGAAGGCAGGACTCACATTCATCTGCTTTAAATGACATTCATGTAGCCCGAGACTAGTTCCAGTTACCATGAGCAACTTTTAACTGGTTAAAGCAGAGACCGGTCCACCGTGGACAGACCCAGATCCTCCAGCAGAGACTGGTCCACCGTGGACAGACCCAGATCCTCCAGCAGAGACCGGTCCACCGTGGACAGACCCAGGCTGTATTGCTGGAAGGGGGCACGGGAGAACCAGAGCCAGGACTGAGCAGGACCGAGGTTTTCTAAAGGGACTCTGGTGCTCTGAAACACTACCACTTATGTCCACGGGGACCAACAGAATCAACACAAGATGACTGGTTCTCGTAGTAGCTTTAATATTCTCACCTCTGACATCGAAGCAGACTGGCTTAAAGCGTTCATTACAAGGGTAGTCGTTCCAGTACCCATCTGTATACATATATGTACAGTATTCTTCACCGTAGAAGTTGTTCGGTATATCAGGCCACCATCGTCTGAACTCTGTCTCTCCGGGTTTGTAGAAACTTGTGTTTGACAGTGACCACCTCCAGCTGTCCACGTCATCGTACAGTCCTATCCAGGCTTGCTGAAAGCAATGTTTCATTGTGATATAAAGAAATAGACTTTTAGATATCTTTACTAACCAATCTTAACCTAACAATAGCATTCAGGTGCTAATATGAACATTGAAACAGGTTTTACTTCCTGTAATCACTCCTGCTGTTCATAATGGACTAAGCTTCTCGTAACTTGGTGATGGCTGAGCTGGCGGCTAGAAGCTAACGATGCTAGCAGCTAACAGTGCTAACAGCTAACAGTGCTAACATTTCAAACATTGGCATCATTACTCCTCTATACCTTTACACGGATGATATTTGTTTGATGAGATATTAATGCTTCAAATATAAAGCAGAGATTATCAGTATGTTAAAGTAGATTCAAATATTAATCTGTAAATCTGTCACATAAATGTCCCTCTGAAATGTATTAATACCTCTTGCCACGGGCCGTCAGAGTGATAACTGCATGTTTGTGTTATGCACACAACTGCCCTGTAACGATGAGTATTAATGTGATATCTCATTAGAAAGCTACGGTTCTTGTAATTCGATTTCTGCAAACCATTTCAAGATACAATAACAACAGCAGGTACAGTTAACGTCTCTGTCAAACAAGCACTCCAAAAATAGCCGATAAAATATCGCCGTGACTCACCGATTACGATTCATAACGTCCCCCTTGTGCATGCTAGTCCAGCAAAAACGGTCTTGCTAGGTGGCTAAGGGTCCACTCGATCGAATCCAGTAAAAGATTTAGTCCAAAACACATTAGTACGTCCATAAAGACCCACGGGGGGCTGTTGCATCATTTCAAATTAGCCAGCAGATATGATAATTCGCGATCATATTTCGGGCATAACTTCACGTTCCGTGTCAACAGAGCGGAGATTTTCATCGCAAAATGGAGCCTACATTCCGCTGGTTAGATTGACACCTCATTTGACCCAATAGGAGCTTCTGTAGCCCGGCCACAGTCTGGAACAGCCAACGAGAGTCCGCTTTGAAAGACAATGCCCGCCTCACTTCTTTGGGTAAAGCTCGAGCCAATCGCAACAGATCCTGTTCAAACTCAGGCTGCACATAGCCAATGAAATTACGAAGCCAAGGATATGCAGATTTATCAGATTGAATGCTGGGAAAGTTTCTAACCTGAACTAGAAACCATGAGTCAAGTTCCTGGGACAGAGTGTGAAGACTAAAGTCTGGTTCATGGGAATTTTCAAGAATCTGTGAAAGTTGATAATGGTTAGATATGATATAGTTAAGCATACGTCGACATAAATAAAATATAGTTCAAATTTGATGTGTTTTTACGCGGCTGGACTCTTCGTAAACCATGTGTGAAATATCAATTTCCTGTTTAAAATATCAATTTCCTGTCGTATTGTCATCAAATTTTAACTTATTCTAGGCGTCCTGACTGCTGGCTGTGGAATGAGAGTCTTTTCAGGCCTGTCAGTCCCAGCCATAGATAGCTGCTGCCATCTGTTGGCCAAAACAAATCTAGGCGGAAGTAAAATGCTTCTCTTTCACTGTGCTGAAAACGCATTAGCTCAATGCTAGTAGCACTTACAGTGATTCTGACTGTTTGTGAAGAAACTTCAGAGTGTTGCCGTTCAATAGAGACTAAAACCATACATGTACTCCCAATGGTTCAATAAGAGCTGTCAGTTTACTTTGGGTACGCGGTTGATAGGCGTTTTAGGCAAATTATGCAGGAATGGGAAGAGGTTATACTCAAGTAAAGTACAAGTACATACTTCAGTACAGTTCATCTGCAGACTTTGTGTGAATGTAAAACTTTCAGACCTCCTGTCACTGATATAATATTACTCACAGAGCTGTCGTCCACCATTTGGCTTGAATGCACCATTGTGTTCAGGGTGTTCACGTCCTCCATGTCCCGTATGGTGGCCAGGTCGCTGTATGTCTCTCTGCAGTGACGCTGTGCTTCAGTCATGTTCTTCAGGTCATAAACAAAATGGTAGCGACGTTCAGCAGGTGATGAGACGGCACACAGCCCTGGATTGACAAACAGCATATTGATTACATTTAATATTAATAAGTTAACTTATTATATAATATATAGTTTATATATACATATATATATATATATATATATATATATATATATATAT